GCACAAGTAATATGTCTTGTTCTCTTTCTACTTTATTTATTGACCCCCTTTTGAGAGATGGAAGTAATATTTCTCTCACTGTGCAGATGGGAAAAGATGTTGTGTCGTTCTTGTCATGGGCTGCTGAGCCAGAAATGGAAGAGAGAAAGCTGGTAAGTTGCAATCTTTCATTTGGTCCTTCCCCTGCATTATGTCAGTCTCTTAATGGTGTATGAGGTTTTGGGCGTCATTTTTGTATTGAAGTTCTTTCAGTAAAGTCTCTGTATACTCAACCTCAGCCTTGTGCATGCTGAACTGATATGCTGAACCTCTGCCTTTTACATATTGATCTGATATTGGATCCTCATTGACAGTTGAATGTGCCATAAAAAGGAATTTTCTGACCACTTGGGTATTGTAATTCCTACAGATGGGTTTCAAATGGATATTTGTTTTGTCACTTGCACTTCTCCAAGCAGCTTACTACCGTCGCCTGAGATGGTCTGTCCTGAAATCTCGCAAATTGGTCCTCGATGTTGTCAACTGATCTCATTCACTTCTTGCAAATATGAACAGAGAACATTTCTTTCTGTGTACTCTTAAGTGTACGGGGCAGAAGGAATAATAAATTACTGCCCATTGATTTGAATTGTGAATGTTATACGACAGAATCTAGACAATAGATCTGTCATAGTAGCTATTCTTTTTGAGGGGGAATAAATAGCTGCTGTACTATTTACAGTATCGTCTATATGAAAGCTTTATTATTTAGAATTGAAGTGTGAATAGTTTCGATGGGCACCTTTTGTTCTGAAGCCACCAGGAGATAGGATTTTTGCCTGTTTTGGATGGAAGCTTTACTTCAAGTTTTATCTCCCTACTCACGGCAGCTAAATGGGATCTTTTCTCTAAAGTTTAATGGATTTAGATGAAATGGTTAAACTAATTCAGCATATAATTAGACGTAGTATATTAAGTAAAGGCTCTAGAATCTAGATTGGAGCTTCATTGCTACTCAAATAACAAAAATAGGCTCTACATTGGAGTTTCATTGTTACTCAAATAACAAAACAATTTAACGTTCTTGCCATTGAAAAGAAGAAAGATGAGGTCTTCACGTGGGGGTAGTTATTGCAACCTGAAATAAATAAATATAAGTGAGTCATCTCTTATAGTTCTAAAGCTTTTAAGTGAAATGATTCATTTGATCAATAATAGTAGCATTTTCTATGACTGCCAGAGAAGTTTAAGAACTCCATCTCATCAACACACGTCTCCTGTCTCATCATCATCACCCTCACTCTTACTCTCACCTTCATCTTCCCCGAGGATGACAAACGGTGCGGTGCGATGCGATTATGGGGCAAACCTGCTTAAACTCGTGAAGGTTTCAACCTGATCCGCCCCGCCCTGCCCTGCATAACATAATTTACTGTTTTCAACTCGCACCTCCACACCGCATAAACCACGCACCGCCTTGCACCGCTTAACAATTTTATTTTTTTTTTGCTTTCTTTCAAATATATAATATTAAATTGTAAAATTTATAAAATTATTTGTTTGAAGTTCAATTCATCTGTTTTCTATGTACAAAGTTTCTAATGCAATAATAAATATTTATTTGATTTTATTTCTATTTTTATTGACTGGTCGTTTTTCTTTGATGAATTCATTTCTTCTGTTTGGATAAGCTTATATTTTTTCTTTATGATATTCAAGATAGTTACTAAAAAGGTGAAATTTGCAAGGAAAAAGTCGACAGCCATAACTAGGTACAGAAAAATTCTAAGAAAAGAAGAAAATCAAACTTGTATTTTGATGACATCCACAACACACCTCGATAAGAGATGTGATACAGTCGTATGCAATATAAATTACTCAATTATAAGTCGGGGTCGAATCCACAGGGAGTTATAAGGGGTGTTAGGAGTATGTACTTGAGGAAAGCGAGTGGATTAACTAAATTTGCATTTCCACAAAAAGTCTTGATTTCTACTTCTACTATTACTCTAACAATTGTAAGCTAAGTAAAAGAAACTAGAAATGAATGATTGTTTTTGGTGTTTTTTCAAATAGTTTAAAAGCCTAGGGATGTGACCATGACCTAGGTGTTCGCCTAATTGGTTAAATATGTTAATACTTATTTTGTTGATTTGGGCGTATTATAGCTTTCAACTCTACGTTACCCACTCAATGCCTCTCGGCCAGAGAGCGGTTTTGCCCAATTTGGCTTTCTTAAGCCCAAATGGGTATCAAACAAAATAGTTGATATGAGCTCAAGTCGGGTTCTTACTATCTCTAGTTTGAACCCTTTAATTAGGCTAATCGAACTCTCAATTAACCCAATTCCTCGTTAGCCAAGTTATCCTAGACTATGTCCCTCTTTCTCAAGTAGAGACTAAGTCAAAAAGGCATAAATCAATGTTTGCAACCATTAATTCTAAAATTGAAGCATGAACTAGGCTAAATAATCAACACACACTCATAAACAAGCATTAAATTAAATACTCATAAGGTTTACACACTAGGTTTGGGTCACAACCCTAGTAAAAATCTAGCTACTCATAGTGAGTATTGAAGAAAATAAAGAAGAAATGCAAAAAAACCCATAATCAAAGATTAAATTGATGAAGTATAATGTTTAAACGCTAAAATAATCAAAAACTTCCTAATATAGCAAAAGTTAACGGTTACAACCGCTTTCTACTCCGAAACTTGACCTAAAATTGTGAAACTCGTCTATTTATAGTGGGCTAGAATTCGCTGAAAAAAATGCCCCTCGAGAGGTTCTGCGGCCGCACAATTCCATGTGTGGTCCGCATATTTCTTCAGTTGGCAGGATATGGAATTCTGCAGCCGCACATTTCTGGATTGCGGCTGCAAAATATCTTCTGCGGCCGCACAATTCTTGTGTGGTCCGCACTTCAGCAAGGCGTCAGGACTTGATCTTCTGCACACTCTGAACGTGAAATTATTTGTCAGTGCAGACCTTGTTCTACGGCAGCACAATTCATGCGCGGTCCTCACATTGGTCAAAATCCTGTTGGGTTCTGTTGCTTGGTTTGCGGCCGCATATAAAATTCTGCGGTCCACAATTTCTTTCTGCGCCCGCAGAAATCCTTCTGCGGACCGCACTTCTTTGCCTCTGCGCCCTTTAATGCCTTGTGCACCGGAACACTCCTTTTTGAGTCGGATTTCATCATGGTATACCAAACTTCCAACATTCCTGCAATTTGCACAATTTCTTTAGTTTTGGGAACGTAAATCAATACTTTCGGACTCAAGCAAAAGCAAAAAAGTACAAATAAGTAGTAAAAATTCCCACATATCATATTTTCTATTAATTTGTCTACTAAATATGGTGTAAAAATAAATATATTGACGCATATATGTGATATATTTGCTAAATGCTTCAAATAAATTGAATTGAGAACTGATCTTTAATCTTATTGGAGAACTTGTTCAATGTTTTCGTCAACCAGTTCTCCAATTGGTGTTAATGTATTTTACAGTAAATATGAAGAAGGTTAAAATGACATAATGAGAATTTCCCCACATAAACCAAAGATACAAAATATAGTTAACGGTTGAGATGACTTAAAAGAAAGTATGATAAAAATTAATAATAATAAAAAAATCTGTCTAAACCCTCATAAACCCGCGACCGCCCCGCCCCGCATCAGTTTTTAATAGAATGGCTTAAACCCATCCCGCCCCGTCCCGCCCCATCCCGCATATTCTTAAACTTGCACCGCCCCGCATAGCTTTTAATCCGCACCACCCCGCACCTGCACTGCCCCGTTTGCCGGCCCGAATCTTCTCTCATCCTTATTTATTGCCTCCTCTTCTTAATTTACAGTTTACGTTGTATATATATATATTGTCTGCATAAAAAATTTTTACACTATCAAATCATCTAAAGAATATTTCTATGCATGTAAGTTTCCTTAAAATGTGAGGTTTGTAATATTAAAAATAAGATATTTATATAACGTGATTTGTAAAAAATATTTAATATGATAATACATATAACTCAAAACTTTTTTATTTACTGCAAGTAGCATGCAACATGCCCTTTTACATACAACCAAGGATAAAGCTAGATTACTTGGCCAAAAGTACATATTATTAGGCTCATCGATGCCTTCGATTAAACAGTTTAACGGACAAGATGTCACAATTCGAATTACAGCAGTTGATTTTCAACATTAATTTATAGAGTTCTTTTGTTGTTCATTTGTGACCGTCTTGCGACTTTTTTTGGGGTCAAAGCGATACTTTCTATTCATTCACAATCTTTTATTCTAATTTATTTCTCATGTCTACCTGGTACTTAGTATTTGAACCTCATTGCTTTGTTTTTGGGATACATAACAACTGGAGATGTGACCTAAACTTAGGGAAATGATACATATGTAAACATTTAGAATTGACCTACTTCTGGAAATATTGCACCCCTAGCAGAAAGAACATTTCTAAATTGGGAATTTGGGATTAGTTCTTGAGTAATGGGCTTGCTTATGACTCCGACCTAAGGGTGAAGGATCTTGGCCCAACATCACACCAAAATCCAGATATATCCAAGGAGCCCAAAACGTAATAATGTGTGAGATTATTGTTCCAAATGAACTAAATTGAAAGGGCGATTTGCACAATTAGGACACTTCTGGTGCTATTATTGAATTTTTGACCCCTTTTGATTCATGAGCATAACTTTAATTTTAACACAGTCAAAATAGGATACTATTGACCTTAGTGGGCCCTTTGGTCGGAAATAAGTTAATTATACAGGATTAGTTATTCCACTTTTCTATGGAGATAAAAAAATATTATAATTTCGAAATACTTAATTCCGAAATTAATTATACCATAATTTTCTCCCAACTAAACATAGTATAATTTTTTTTAAAATTTAATTTCGAAATTAATTATTATTTATTCCCGTACCAAAGGAGTCCCAAGTATTTACCGGACAAGCAAGTGTAGTTTGCTGAAATTGAAAGTAGTTGGTTGTTGAAACCATTTCTAAGTTCCTACTTTCGGGACCAAAGACAAAGTACGAAAATAGAATCGGACGAGAATTCTTAGATTAGTCTGTAACATTTAAAGTCAACAGGTAACTGTCGCTTTCAGGATGAATAATTAGGAAATAATTGTGGACTTTCCAATGGTTCTTCATTGCTATTGGTCTTAGGCAGAAAAGGCCGCTGTTTGCGACTTCCTGTGAAGTAAGTGTAAGATGATTTATCTATCTATAAGTGAAGTATACAATCCTAAAAATAGCAAGTGTCAATCAATTTTATTCTTTTGATAATTTCTTATGTTTTTGTTCAGTTCAAACAATTCAACTGAAAGATGGGGAAAAAGCAAGTGATGGTGCCGGTTAATGAAGTAGACCTCACCGAAGTGAAATATGTGCCGGAAAAATTTGAAGGTTTTCTTTTCATCTTTTTCTTCATTTTCGTCCCTTAAATAGAGTTTCTTGGTTATGATCAAAGTGTCATTTTGCAGCTCCACATTTGACTGGTTTTTGGTTCAAGTTGTTTGTTAAAGTAATGGAGGCACCCTTAATTGGTTCTTTAATTACCAGTCACCTGAAGCAGAAGAATGGAATGACTGAGGTTTGTTTGTATGCACACTTGTGATTCTATGTATAAAAGGGAGATTTAGATATTAAAATTGATGTTTTTGATTGTCAGATTCTCAAGAATACTGTGATCCCAGAGGTGCCCATGTTCATTCCACAATTCCCTGTTCAAGGTTCACTATTAAGCTCTTGCTGCTTTTATCTTTCAATCAGTTTATTCATATTGTATGTTATAGTTTTAGGGCACAATGGACGAAAAACATCTATATAGGTAATACCAATTAGTTAGGATTAAGTTTTACTCATGCTAGTACATTTGCTTCGGGTCTTGTTAGAGATTTATATATTGGTAGAAAATGGAGATAACTTCTTGTGCTAGTGCTTTCTAATAATATTAGACTGAGACGGGCTCAAAATGGAGTGACATGGACACGGAGTATTTATATAGCTGATCTCAACTTGCTTGCGATTGACACTTAATTGTTGTTGTATGTTTAATATACATCAATGTTTTCTCTTGGAGTAGGAAGATACCTTTTCCTTTAAATATGTCATTTCATTGAGATGGCACTGCTTAACTATCTTATTGTGCTGCTTGTTATCTCTCTTCTTTGTTTCTATTAGTTGGTGAATCGTATAAATTTCTTGCCAGCAAAAGTTCATGCGCTATCCTTTATATCTGAGGCTTTTTACCGTTTAGATTTTACTCATTTAGCATGACATTATTGGTGATAAACTAATACTCAGCTGATTTTCTGACATGTAACTGGAAAGAAGCATAATACTGTGGGATTCCATGATTTTGTTGAAGTTGGAATTCAGGAATTGTTAAGGTGCTTTTCTAATGTTACTGACTTATTTAGTATGTATATGAATTTAGATCCAGAGCCTGGTGTTGTTTGCTTAGAAGAAGATGGAAAACCTGAAGAACGGGTTGATTTAGCCTTGAAGTGTCTTCCACATTATGATCCTTCTAGCAGTTGGAATTCTGGTTCAGGAGAACCGTTCCCATTCCGCTACTGGAAAATTCGTGATTATGGATATGCTTACAGATCTAAATTTACTACCCCATCTATGGCAAGTGATTTTCCATTGATTGTTCCTATTTTGGTCATCTTCAAGAATAATAAAAAGCTCTATTGTGCTAAAGGTTGCAGAGCACTTTATCTCAGCAATAGAGGTACTTAATGATAAGCAGCCCTCAGCACCGTTATTAATCTCCTTTGACCCCAAGGAGGTGAGAAGGCAAGCTGCATCTTCCGCTCAAAGATTTGAGGAAGGTATTTTAATTTGTTGATGTGCATAAATTGGCTGTTCTGAAAATCTACACATTGCAATTCACAGTTTCTTGTATTTTGTTCAATTATATTAGCACATGCCGTCAAATAAAAGATGAAAATTGATATTAATTTCCTGCGAATAAAGCATATCTTGAATTGCTGTGCCAAGTCTGTAGATCTCATTACTGAAGTGTTTTTCTTTTCATCTGTTTTTGTTTTATTCCGATGTGGTCATGGAGGAATACCATTGTCGATCTTGGATGGGATTTTAATTGCAGTCAAGGATGACATTGATTGCTATCCTCATCCTTCAAAGGGTATGTGTTTAACTTCTCATTTTCTCTGCGAATATCTCTGCCATTTTTAGCTGAAAATTTTTCCCTGTAAAAATGAGCAGGTGGTTCTACATGGTTTCATGAGGTTCGCCAGGTAAACACAGATGCAGTTTCTGTGTCAAGATTACGAAGCAGTGGTGCAATTTTAGTAGGAAAGACAAATATGCATGAATTTGGTATGGGCACAACAGGGAATAATCCGAATTACGGGTAAACTTTTGCCTTGAACCTACAAATAAGCAAATGTTAGAAGCGGTAACCTTTTGACATGACTTCTTTTATTCTTTTTTTGTTAAAACAAACTTGATAAAGATATATGCTAAACATTGGTTTTGCGAATGTTGAAGAACGAACTTGGGTATATTTTAGGTTGAGTGTATATTTTACCTTTAACATCACTAATGAGCATTTTCCTATGGCAGTACACCTGGAAATCCGCATAATCCAAAAAGATACACAGGTGGTTCTTCCTCAGGTTCAGCTGCAATTGTCGCTTCTGGATTGTGTTCAGCAGCATTGGGAACAGATGGTGGAGGTTGTATAACATATCAGGCTAGTGAATTTGTATCTTCTTTTGAAATAATTATAAGATTTTCAGGCTTTATTCATCTGAAGTCCAGGTTCAATACGAATTCCTGCTTCTCTTTGCGGGGTTGTCGGCTTGAAAACAACATTTGGACGGACTGACCTGACAGGGTAAGTTCATGAAGTGTAGATCAATGTGCATCTATACCAAATTGGTTTTATCCTTCTGAATATATTGTTTCTCCCGGTAAAACTTTTCTACTGTCAAAGCTATGATCTGCCTATACAACTTGCCAACTTCAGTTGCTACAGTTTAATTTTCTAACAGCCTAAAGGACTGTTCTTTCCTATATTTAGTTATCCGAAATCCATAAATTTCGGTTTTATCAAGTCTCTATGTTAACATTCAATATCATACCTTTCTTGGTCTTTTGTCTGAGATCAAGCTTTACTATCTGATCTTATCAGTTTATAGTTTGGTTCATCTCTGTTCTTTTATCAGGTCACTGTGGGAAGCAGGAACAGTCACGATTGCTGGACCCATCACAGCTACAGTTGAGGATGCCATACTTGTGTTAGTAATGGGTTTCACCCAATCTTTTTTTACAAACAAATAGTCAATTCCGGTCATGAGCATATTGTAAAGAATAATCTATCTTGTAATTGGCGCAGTTGTGTTATCACTTCTTCATATGCTATAGTAGTTTTATTTCGATTGAAGTGTCATCTTATATGTTTGAACATAAATAGAATCCATAGAATGAATACATTAATCATTGAAACTAATTCTACTAATAGATATTAAAACAACCTACATGAAAACTAATACACGAAATCACTCTAAGTAAAAATATGCTTAGAGACTCTTGAATCTCATTATTTCTTGAATACTTGTAATAGGTACTGAAAGTCAGATGTATTTGCTCCCTATGCCTTTAGAGTTCAAAGGCTATTAAAGTTAAAGATTAGAAGTTTACTGAAAAAAGTATAAAGCCGCCAAGATAGTCAGCTTCCAAGGAACAATGCTAGATCCTAACCATGACAAAACAATGTAACTTTCCTAACGCATGTCACCAGAGTCCTATTGTCTTCAATTAGGTTGTATATATGGGGATAAAGTTTTGTTAAATTTGGTCAAGCTCTTGATCTGGTCATAAGACCACTCTTACAGTTGATATGTGTTGATTATTGCTGTTGTTTTTTCCCAACTTTTCAGGTATGCAGCAATCTTAGGATCCTCTCCAGCTGATCGAATTCCACTGAATCCTGTAATCACTCGCAAAGTGTACTTTTGCAAAATTTCAAGATATTGTTCTGCTTGAGGGTCCAGTTTGACTTTTTCCCCCTCCGTTCATGTAAATACTGTAGCTAATATTTGTAAAGAGGGCAGCAATCATTTTTCAACATTGAGTTTTTCCACTAAAATTGCAGTTGTGTTGATCGCTTATGATACTCAAGCATTTTGATTACCATAAAAACTTAAGTTTGGGGTATTTTTCTTCAGCGAGTCAGCGAACTGTTCGCTCTTGGTTCAGTTTGGGGATGTTTCTTCTGCTGAATGTCCTATTCCTATCCATGCTGCAGTATTCACCCTACTTGTATCATATAGAAGACTATTTCGGTTAACTTGCTGAAGAAAAAGGTGGCAATTTCCCTGTCCATTGTAACCACGCTGTCTTAGGTTCCCAAAGTGGATTTGATATATCTAAAAAAGACCAATCTTAATCATAGGATTAGTTTGATCCTATACTTGTACAGGAGACTCTTGTTATAGGTTCAATGCAGAATGAGTTCTTTTCATTGGATTAAAAAGTTGTATTCTGCATTAAGCAAGCTGTTATATACTCACATTATTATTAATTGATTTTTTTTCAGTCCCTCCCTTGTTTACCAGATTTATGTTCCAATGAGAGTTCAAACATTTTGGGATCACTTACCCTGGGAATGTATACAAAGGTCTTGCACTTCTGGTTTCTTAAGGTTGTTGGTGACTTTAACCTTCTTGGTTGAACTTTGGCTGATACGAGACATCTTTTACAGTGGTTTAACGATGTTAGCTCAACCGATATATCTGACAAGTGTGAAGATGTCCTAAACCAACTATTTCATCTGTATGGGTGCAAAGTAAGTCCATGTTACCCTTTATTATGTAACTGATCAATTCTGTCAGAATCATGCATTTTACATCAAGTTTGTTATCTATTTTAGAAGACTTTATGCTTAAACTTCAGATTCAGTTTCTGGATGTAACTTTGTTATTCTATTTTTCCTGCTTAACTCTTTGCAATCAAGACAACAGAGATTGTCATACCGGAGCTTCGCGAGCTGCGCACAGCCCATACTGTTACTTTTGGATCTGAATCGCTATGCTTATTGAATCCTGATTGCGAGGATGGGTATATCTATTTTCCATTCAAGCTATTGGTACAACTGCTTGCAATCTTGTAGTTTGGACTAATATAACTTTTTTTCATTTTATGTAGGAAAGGAGTAAGATTGACTAATGATACTCGCACAAATCTAGCACTCTTCAGATCATTTGCAGCATCAGATTATGTTTCTGTCCAGCGCCTTAGGTAAAGAATAAGTTACTGAATTACTTCATACATGTTGAAACAATTTGTTCACTTGTTTGTTATAATATCGAATTAGGAATGTGAAAACTGCATTTGTGTTGTGGATCAGTGGCATATACATATGATTCTACATTTAGATAGACTTTCCTAGCTTTAACTACATCAGCAATTTTAGGTTTTGCTTACCTCATTTTAAGCTCATTGTGTGGCTTAAAAAGTTATCATCTTCATATCCTGATTTTAAGTTTTCAATTAGAACAAGATATTCTCAGAAGAGCACATTAGAATCCATGTTCACGCCTTTAATTTCATTATTAGTTTACTCCATAGTTACTTTGTATTTCTGAAGTGTCATCTAATGGTTCTTTCTGTCTTATGTTAGGCAACATGTTAAGTGTCAGATGTACTACTAGATTTTATCTAAATATTAAAGGATTTCAAGACTCACTACAAAATTGCATTTAAAAATATGATAAAATTTGTTCAACTTATTTCAGCTTTCCGGTGTCTCTTATTGCAGGCGAAGGATAATGCACTACCACATGGAGATTTTCAAGAAAGTAGATGTCATTGTAACACCTACCACTGGGTAAACTAAGTTTTGCCACTTTATGGGCCCTTATATCTAAGTACACTCGATTTCATAACTTCAAATTTTATTCTTCCAGAATGACAGCTCCAGTAATTCCAAAAAGTGCTCTTGAAGTTGGAGAGACAAATTTGCAAGTTGTAGGTAGGTTAACATCATTTTATTACTTTGAGGTTAATAGTTCCTGAGATACTCTGTCATCTCCTTTATCTCCTCTAGGTCCTTGCTGTTGATGTGCTACAGTATAGGTAACTGCCAAAGTTTGGGGACACAAATACCAATTTTGTGGTTTAGCTGCAAAAAGATTTTTTTAAGCCCGGGTCCTTTTTACATAACATTCTCGGCTGCCCTCTAGCCAGTGACTAGCCCAGCTATGGAGCTAGGTCTACACCGCCACGTTGAGACTATCTTTCACGTTTCTACGGATTGCATCTAGGGTTGTCAAATAGGCGGGTTGGGCTATATTTGGGCAGGTAAAAATGGGTTGAACTAATAAACGAGTGGGTCATAACCCCTCCAAAGTTTGCTTGGGTCAAAGTTGGGCGGGTCAATTTGGGCTATTCGTTGGATCATAAACCAAAATTTGATTTATGCAGGCATTGAAGACAGGCAGGAGCGTATGTAGCATATAGGTGACGGGTTCAACTGAACTCATAACTTTCGATGCAAAGCATAAATTTATGTGTAAAATTTACTAAAATTACAACAAATAGTAGATTTGAACCCATAGTTTTAAAAATATAATTAGTTCAATGCTAAAAATCTTAAAGGCTGAACCCATAGGGTTTTAATCCTGGATCCGCCTCTGAAGACAGGTATGTACTTCGATATTGAAAGTCGTGAAGCGTTCTATCTCACGCAATATTCTGAATACTACTACATTTCTTTTTGCTACGATGAGCACTTCCAGATGATGTAACTTTATTTTAGACTTCTTAATACTTACTCGTTTGCTATTCTTTTCAGCAAGCCTAATGCAATTTGCTATAACAGCAAACATTCTCGGGCTTCCAGCAATTTCTGTCCCTGTAAGTGACATTCATCTTTTTCCTGTTAGGCAGTCCACAGAGAGAAAATCTCAGAAAAGGATTTGGAATGGAAGGACCTGCATGTTGATGATATGCAAACAAGTTTTTAAGCATTTCAACCTATATATATATAAGATATTGCGCTAGGAAATCGTTGAATATGGGATTCTAGGAAGGAATAAGTGCCGATTTTGATTTCCCTCAGCAAATTCCTCACTAATTATGTTGAAACAGGTCGTGTAAGTGGAAATTTTATTCTTCTCTTTATTCACATTAACCAGACCAGATAATGTTTGTCCGAAAAACCTGAGATGTGAAGAGATGTTTTTACAAATCAGAAAAAGATACAAGGTTTTGATTGACTATTAAAAAGAGTTTTTTTGGGTTCTTCGTTCTACTTTTTTTGTCGGGAAATAGGTAAACTTAGAGCATCCTTTTATATGTGGCCTCTGTATTCCAAGATCAATTTATTACACAAATAGCTTTGCTAGGTTTTTCTGTAGTTCAGTGTGGACAAAATATAACTATCACTACCACAAGAACAGAACTTCTCAGTCAGACACTTTCTAGTGTGCCACTTCCACATCCTCTTGAAAGGCACATCATTAACTATTTTCTCTCCTATAGCATGTCGAGTCTCTTCTTTGTTCTGATTCAATTTCGTATTGATAGCTTGATCTCCTTTTAGCCTTTGAAATTTCAGTATACCATTCTTCGTTTAGTAGCAGCTAATTTGCTTTAGATAGAGGAATGGACACAATTGGCCATAGACTTGCTCATGGATTGACTATGAAATAAGATAAAAGTATTATAACTCCTCCCAGATCACACTATTCTTTTGGATGTCCTTAAAGTTTTCTATATATGTGGCAGAAGATTTATGAAATCGAGTTTTCATAGGAACATGAAGTGCGTAGCTACAAGAAGACCAGAGCTGTCTGTCATAGTGAAAATACCAAAATAGATCTATTGGTGCTTTCTGCATGCTAGTTTACTGTCAAGAACCTGCTCAACTTCTTTCCATCTAATTTTGACATGCAGCAATAGACGACTGAACTCTTTATCTCTTTTCAAAACTTCTCCATCTGTATTTGCATAACGTCTGTTTCCTTTAACACTAAGATGTCTCTTGATGGCTACCAATGTAGGATCATAATTATTCTAAAATATGTGGATGTCAATTGTCAATCAACATCATGTGTTCCAAAGTTTACCTGTAGCTTACTAATTTACCTTTCTCTCTCTTTTGTTTTTTCATATGCTTAGATTGGTTATGATAAGCAAGGACTTCCAATAGGCTTGCAGCTTATTGGTCGTCCGTGGTGTGAAGCTACAATCTTGCGTTTAGCTAGTGTGATAGAGGTATTCTCCTCCATCTCTACCACCACCCACCCCAACCAAACAACTGCTAAAAAGTTATAGATTGATTATTGACTGGACATTTTGACTTGTGCTTTCAGGAAATCTCTGCAGAGTATCGGAAGAAGCCAATGGAGTTCTATGACATCTTGAAAGGGAAGTGAGAATAATGTTTTTCAAGACAGAACTGAAAGAGAGCGACGGAACTGACAGGAATAAGCTTAAGCCTAACCTCCGGGTAAGAAAAGATTTCATCACAAATGAATTTACATAGAGAACGAATCGAATAAGAGCTGAAGAACCATACTCCTAGATATAGAAATGTGGTTGCTTTTTCAATAATTATAGCTAGTGGAATTTTTGGTGATATATGCCTTCAATTCATGTATTTAGTACCAGCAACCTTTCTGTAATTTTCTACATCCTTGAAGTTGTACACTGAAACTGCTTCATTCATAGTTTAATGCATATTTGGTTAATTTTTCCTTATATTCTATTTTATTTGGTTATTTTCTCCAAATTATGAAAATGCATGTATAATTAGAGCAATTAAAGAGATACAACAGAGGCAAAGGGAGCTTGTGAAAAAGTACAACATATAATCTTACAGGGAACCACATTCATTTTCCAAAAAGAGCACCAAAATAGCTTTGATTTACAGAAACATAAGGGCAAATATTACGTGATAAAGGTCTAATCTAGGGGCAAAATAAATTTACTAATAGAACATTTGTTGCAAATCCCCGATTTCCAATAATACTTCGATTTCTATTATCAATATACTGGTTTTCTTCTTCTTTGATCCTGGTAGGGTCCTTCTTCCTCTTTATCCTTCAAGAAGCCTAGGATGACAAGAAAAACAAAAAAGAAGAATGCCCAATGGCCTCCACNACCTTCTCTGCATTCAACCCAGACATATCAGCATCAAATGATACTCTGCACAGGATCTTTATAGAATATAAGCATGGCTGCTCATTTTTTGGTGGATAAAATTGCTGAAAAATGTGCAGAGCGGCATTGTGCATCGCTTTTAAGAAACGAAACGATGGCTTTTAATAACACTGCTTTCTAAAACAACAGGACGGGTTGCAGACACCACTAACCATAAGCATAACAGTGAAAACAGCTACAACGTAAAACATAGATTGTTTTATATCCGTTCCTTTTGTTCCACCAGTTTCTGCAAAGAACATGAAAAAATTACCTGGTGCAACTGTAATGGTTGAATTTTCCCTTGTAAGAGTCTGCATCTGCCCTTTAGTTGCACATCTGGCACTCTGTATTAAATGCAAAATTAAAGGTTGAACAGGGAATACTAGTGGCAATAAATGTTACTAGAATGATGCAGGAAATGGAAAACCAAAAACTAAATGCAAGCAGTAGTAATCGTAGCAGCAGCATCAAGAACATCAATATAGATAAGCGATGAGGTCCTAATTCCCATTGTTTCTTTTTTAGATTAAAAGTTTGTGAGATCCTATTTCCAATTGTCTGTAACTAGAAATGCATTACACTACCACTTTCAAGTAACAAACAAGTATATATTTCCACATTTTACCAATCCATATCTATAAACAACGAGTGCAAATAGAGAGGCTAATCAACTTGAGTTCAGGGTGCTTGTTTTAGTGAGTGCAGTTGTTTACAATATACTGACTGCAGAATCCTGCTTGGCATGCTGAAGGAGACATAGTCCAATGTGATAACTTATGCCATGAGCAGCGACTTGCACTAGCATTCTGAAGCTCTGAAGCTTCTCACAGCAAACGTCGCACAAAATTAATATATAAGACATGACAAGTACGAATGATCCACTAGAATAATTAGGGGTATGTAACTAAACAGGGCAATGCTAGCAGTTGCACAAACAGTAGTACCCAAAGAAATGTTACCAGAGCAGCAACACATATTATGGAAGCACTCTTTTCTTGAACAGGACATATCAAGTGTCTTCCATTGTTAATAAATTGAGACTGCATGCCAAGCGGCTGGAGGCCAACAGATACTATTGGCTTGAATTGCTTCAGGCATTCAGCCTCTGCTCTCACTGTGACAACAACATCCAACGATTAACAACATAGATAGCACGAGCTGTAGGGTGAGCAACAAATCTTCAAATGGTTTTGCCAACGAGGGATTTTAAAGTATCAAATCTTTTGATGACATCGTTGTCAAACCTTAAACATAAATGTTCGATTCAGTTACTTCAAAACCTAACACCATCACATCAAGTAAACCAGAAAATTCAACACTGCTTTAGAGAAGCAAATACTGTGGCAGATGTTCTAGCAAAAACTGGGAGCAACTTATTAGATGGTACTACTGTCTTGTTTGATGAATGGAAAGACCTCCCTAAGAAGGCTAGAGGATGCTCCAGAATGGATCAAAATCAAATTCCTAATTTCAGAATTAGGGAAAAACACAAGAATGGAACTTACTGAAGCTATGTTTCTACACATCGGTAATAGGGAATTGTGCTCCCTCTTTTTTTGGAAGCTTAATTGTTTATTCCTGGTCAATCCGACACTAGGGTCAACTTATTTATTTGGTGATCAATATGGGAATGATCTTACATCATGTAAGTTTTTGCTAACTTTACGGTTAGGAATACCTAACTTACTTGTTGTAGAAGGAGAGGTAAGGTTTTATGTCCCCCGCCTCCATGTATTTCCTTTTTGGATTCTAATATACAGGTTGGGGTCAGCCTAAACCCGCATGATGGTGAGATTAAAAAAAAAAAAAAGGTAAACCAGAAAATCAAAGACGAGCTTTTTTATTTTTAAGTGTTTCTTTTGACAAGTAAACTCAAAGACAAAAGCTTTTGACTTAGGGCAAAGGATGCATCTTAGACTTCCAAGGAGTTGAACAACACCAAAATTCAAGAAAGCTAGATGATAAATCATAAACACTTTTACTGATTTGTAGTAACAAAGTATTTCAACATGTTGGTCAGTGCAAATTTATGTTTTCATGGAGAGAGAAAGAGAGTGCTAAAACAGTCAAAAGTTAACAGCAACTGCAATATTACAAAAGGATCATTACTTCATGTTACGTTCTGATGTAATTCCTACAGCACTTACGTAGCGATGGCTATTCGGATATTCTCACATCTAATGCGGCAAAAGCTTCTCAGCGAGATAACAACAAGAGAAGCTGATATCTAATATATTAATGTTTGACATGATCAAAGGAGATGAAAGTTTTCACAGTGTGCTCCTAATTACATGGAAAATGGTGGTACTTATTAAAAGGAATCAGTCAAGGAATATACACAAACATACCTATTGGCAAAGTAGGTGCACTCATAGTGGTACTGGCAGTTAACATCTTTTTGAAAAAAATTTGAGTCTCCCTGAGATTGAACTCCTATTAGAATCCTGAAATACTAAAGGAAGAGTAGATTAAGTATGCAATCGACAACAAAAACAAAAAAGTCAACAACTACACCTCAATCCCAAATAAGTTGGGAGAGGCCAAATGAATCTATTAATCATGTTTCTCCATTTAAGCTCAACTCATGTCATCGTCACACCAAATAGAATAATGAGGGAAAAACAAGTTTATAATATATATAAACCATAGTAGAATAATCATTATAGAAAAGCAAGAGGACCAAAAACGAGGTACTAACAAGACTTAAACCTATTCCCGCCTATAGCAATCTTTTTCCTCCATTATGCCATATCTTTAGCTAAGTCTGCATTGATTCAGAGAAATTGTAGGTCTTTTGACACAACTTCTTTCCGTGTGATTTTAGGTCTACCTCGTCCCCTTTTAACACCTTAACTTACCATGATTTCACACCTACGGACCGGTACATTTGGAGGTCAACTCAGGACATGATCAACCCATCTCAAACAACCTTCTCTTATTTTATCGTCAGTGCTTGCTACTTGCACCATTTGGCGAATGACATTTTTAAATCTTATCTAATCTTGTATGACAACACATCCATCTTAGCCTTCGCATCTCCGCAACACTCATCTTTTGAATATATTGAACTTAAGCAACCTAACATTCACTACCATATAGCAGTATCGATCTTATAACTGTTCTATATAACTTGCCTTTCACTTTAGTAGGCATCCTTCTATCACGTAACTCTCCGGGTAGCACTTCTCCTTTTCAACCATCCGGTTTTAATTTTATGAGTAATATCTTCATCTATCATTCCACTCTCTTGAAACCAAATTCTCACGTTTTTGCACAAGCACAGCGACACCATGAACCGAATCGCTTCTTCCTGCAAATCGAATGACCTTTCTTGCCTCTGGTAGGCAAAACAGGACTACCAACGAAAGGATGTCAATGTCCAATATCAGCTTTACTCTTAGATCAGATGTCGCATGTATTCTGTTCTATAACAAAATATACACCATCCAAGTATTCCTTCTTAAGGACGAGGATCATAATGGCTCTTTTTGGATCGGACTCTATTCTCTAATACCTTAACAAATCCAAAAACAAGACAGTGGAATCTGCTAAGATATTTTCCAAATTGCTTTTCTTAAATACATAAGATACTATTTATTTAATAAAAAAATTACAGTTAATTGAAGCTTTGTTTAGGGTGCTTAATTTAGTCTGACTCTGACGTTTTTTATAGTTAATTCGGCGCTCACCTTCTGATACAGAGAACAACGGTTGCCAAGTTTCTGAAGCTGCTCGATTAGAATCTCATGTGAAATAAAAAATTAGAAGAGAATGATATAATATATATATATAGAGAGAGACCAATATGACCAATATGAGCACGTGGACGATTGCTAGCTTCCATGATTAAAATAAACATTAATTCTCGAGTCCGACTTTATCCGCCCTTGGAATCATTTTTTAAAGGAAATTTTACCTAAAAGCCATACGCCATATTTATATTTTCTATAATTATTTTTTATATTTTATAGCAAAATAGATATTTATGATATATACTATCGTTGAGGCATGAAATACTTATGTTTTTCCTCTCTTTCTTTCTTTCAATTAACATAAGATTATCTCTCAGATTTTTTCTTCTTTCTTTCTCTCTCTCTTCCTTCTCTCGCTCTTCGAGCAACTCAAGCCCTAATATTGATGGCCGACGAAAAAGAAGAATCTCTCTCTTTTCGAGCAACTCAAGATACACGCCTTAGTATTGATGGCCGACGAGACATTAGAATATAGTATATAAGGCAGCCAGAAAACAGAAAAGAGTGAATTTTTCAAACGGAAATGAGCAATGTGATGAACTCTTATCATAAATTTATTGTATGGATCCGACGAACTTTCTTCTCTTCTTGGCTGGAAAACGCCATCTCTGACAAACTTTCTTCTCTTCTTTGTTATTTAGTCAAATACAATGATACAAGTACATTGTATTCCGTACAAATTCACTCAAACATATTGTATTTTTATATAAATATATTTTTTTGCCTATATTTATGTATTTTCAAAGATCTGTATTTTTTTAATACAGTTGAATACATCTGTATTCATGCATGCCATATGTCCTGTATTCATGCATACTACAGTATGTATGGATACATAATATAAATATTGAAATACACTAAATACAAACATTAAAATAGAATAAAATATAGTAGTGAATAGATCTAATTTTAAAATATAATAAAATACAGTAAAATACACTGAATACAAATATAAATATAGTGAATACAACCAATGAAATGCTGAATACAACTGTAATGACATGTATTAGGAATAACTAAAATACTGCCAATACAAATATATTTGAATATACTGAATATAAAATAGCGAATACAGTAAATACAAACATTGAATCTAATGAATGCAACAATAAAAAAAAATTAAAAACACTAAATAGAAAAGTTAAATACAACTGAAAAATTATTCTAATTAATTGGGTTGATAATGGGGCATGTTAGAATTGATTTTGTTGAGTTATATTAGGAGTGTATCACTCTAATTGATATAATTTTTGTTATTAGATAGCTGACCATATCTATTTTTAAGGTGATTGTCGTTACTATATTCATGAATACACGATGCAAATACATGTGAATACATGCATGTATAGCCGGACTGCCCTGATTTTAGGCATTTTTGCTGTTGTACTCATGAATACAGTAACACGAATACAACGAATACACTACTGTAACAGCTGTATAGTAACTATAGGAAGTAATTATGTATATGGTAGCTATAGGAAGTTAATAGCCACTAAACAATAGTGGTTTATGAAAATTCTTTTTTTTTTAAAAAAATCCGTTCTTTGAATGCCAAAGGCGAAATAAAATTTTCCGTCACTATGATTTTTATGTGAGTTAGTAAAAATCTATGATTTTTGTACGATAAAAGCAAAGTTATATGACTTTGGTGAAAAATAATTCATAATTATATGACCATTTGTCAAATTTACCCTATATTCTTCTATCTAATTAATTTTGCAAACAAGGGAGGTAAGCGTAATATCGTAAACCACGAGAGATGTCAGTGTGATGGAGCAAAATATGAGGGGAGGTCTCGAGGTCTCTGAAATTATCTCTTTTTTATACGGAAAAGGGCCAACAATACCCCTAACGTATTGAAAATGGCTCAAAAATACAATCCGTTAACCTTTTGGTCCACAAATGCCCCTAACGTTTGTTTTTGGGCTCAAACTTACCCCTATATCTAATAAAACTAACCTAATTAATTTTTTGACTTTAACTTCGCCATGTGGCATTTTCTTAACCCGCCACATGTATTATTTTGTATTAAATAAAACACACCTGTATCTTTTAAAATACCCAACGACCCTGACCCGCTCCTATATATTTGGATGGTCGACTAAAAATAATTATATTCGCTAGTTTTATATATATA